ACATCAATTAAATTACTTTCTTGTGTCTTTATTGCATACATATGATGCAATGTTGGCTGTATAGGCCATTTTGTTATGGAGGTGCAGTATGCTTTATTCCTACTTTAGAGAATATTGTTTACCAACATTCAAAATAAATCCTATCACAAGGCACACTGAGTCCACAATCTGTCAATATGTAGTTCAGAAACAGTGGAAGAAAGAAAAGGCTTTTAAAAAAGAAATTCGTTCTGCCTTCCAGATATATACTGACCTTGCACTAGTGAGCCAAGCTATTCATACCAGTTGAACACAGCATGTGCAGCATCTGTAAGACTCCAAGTGCCTACGGTTTCACCACGTCTGAGATGCCACAGAAAAGGAAATGTTTTGACATATGCTATCATACTCACTCATTATGCCTTTATTTTGAAATGGGAACTCTGCTACAAAACAAAATGATAGATGGGAGACAGACGTACGGTGCTTCTGAATTACACTGGATCACATTCTGCCCGGGTGGTGCTAATTTTTAACTTCTATGTTGCACATGAAGCTTAACCTAAAATTGATGTACAGTCCATGTTAAAACTTAGAATTTTATTCAGAAGACCACTTAATTTTTTTTTAAAAGATTGTTACTTCTACTACAAAAGGAAAAGGTAAGTATAACACAGACTGGGAAAACTAATGCTCCAATCGCCATAAACGGCGGTTATCTTATTCGAGGAATTTTCTGAGCGTCACACCGTGATAAGGGAAAAATCTGATATTTCCATCATTCACAATGTTCCCACTTGAAATAATCCACTGATCACTTAGTTTTATGTTTTCTGGGTCACTGCAGAAAATCATTGAAAACAATTTTTTTTTGCAACATGACATCGCTATTTCCTTTCAGCCTTACGGCATTTGTGATTAAAATTAATCTTGCTCGATAATAGAGAACCTGAAAATTTTTACACTACTACACAGCACTACACCTGCCAGCACTTTAAATAGCCTCATTCACAGGAAAACGCAAACACTGAAACATAGGAACGGTCAGTAGATTTGATAGTAACTCGTAAGATTTTCTTTCTGCATAACTCAAGTTGTAATATGGAATTCTTAAAGCATCTTGTGTCTGCTGTTTTGCTTACCGACTGTAAAACCACACATACAATCAGCGGAATTTATGCTCATAAAAATGGAAAATCTGGATCTTCTTGCCAATGTATTTCCCAACGACAAATTTATTGGGTTGTTGATTAATAGCAACCTGATATATCAAACAGAAGACTAGCCTTTCTCTGAATGGTGGGTGATGAAATTACTGTCCAGGATGGCTGTTATGACGTTCGGACAATTTTTAACAGATGAAGGCTTGGAACGTTTGCAGCAGTCATTTGATTTGTGGCATTATTGCACTCAATTCTAACTTCATCCTCTGATTTGGTTCATGCGTGTTTTCTCTTATCAAGGTTACTGGTGGGGAATGAGAACCTTCTCTTTTGGCAGTCAGTGCCACTATCAAGTGCTGCCACCTCAGGTGCAGATAGTAGGTTCAAAGCTCACTCTTTCCTCCAGTAATCTGGCGCAACTCCAACTCAGAAGCACACCTCTTCGCTACACAAGTGCCTAATTTTGGTTGTTTTAGTTTGAAAGCGAGTGAATCACAATAACAGTGGTATGGTTAGCAATTCACTACCGTAACCTTGCTGCAGAATATTTGAGCATGTGATTCATAATGAGGCTTAATGAATAATAGTACAATTCGGTAACAAGCTGGCTAGAGTTTTGAAAACTTTGGTCCTGTTCAGTCCTCACAAAGGTGAGACTCATCTATTAATATTACTGCTAGATGCTGCAGAGACAGAAGATACAGATTTGCTCAATAAATTGTGCAATAAAAGTGCAGTACAAAGTAGGTACAAATAGCCTGTTTGTTAATTTATTTGGAATTTACATAGAATGGTTACAGTCAGTCATTGGTGGCTGTATAAGTTTATCAAGGTAATAGTTTGTTTTGCAAAATGCTACGGAGCAGAACCAAACATAAAATAATGTTTTTTAAAAATCGCAACATTTATAATGACACCTATTCCGTGAAAACTTCTTCCACATATTGTGTACATCCAAAAAATCACACTGCTTAAAATGTATAACAGGAGATCATAGTCAATTATATTTAAGAATTCAGGAACTGCTTCAAGGAACACATTTTGTATCACTGCAATAATGATGTTAATTATCTTTCAATGTATTAATATATCAAAATTTTGTTTGATAATTAATAGTAGTACCATTTAATACTGTTCTGGTATACTCAATGTCGTACACAGAACATTAGCAAATTAGTAATATTAGAAAAAGAACCACTAAGTACCTACTTGTTGTTTTATACCCTTTTATATTTGGGGATATATTTAATTAATAGAACAATTCATTGTTAGTCTTCCACCTACTTTCACTGTCATACAGGAGAGCACTTACAGCCATAGGGAATAATAAAGTCAGAGAATTAGTATGTGATCATTTAAAAAGCAATTGCTGAGACACATCACATAGATCGCCTCCCCTACAGTTTCTTAATCTTTTTGAATTTCTTCCCATGCTCTGCCCCCAGTCAGTCATGCAGGAAATGTTATGCAACTCAAAGTAAAGAAAGGAAATTACATATAATTTTTGCGCATAAAATTCTATTCATTTCAACTGTTAAATATACCTCAGACATTAACACTTTCTTAAACTGCACTACGTGTTTAGCATTAATGTCCTTTGATGGTATACCAACACTCAACATGTGGCAAATCGACCCAACAATTTAGCAATTAGCTGTATTGAAAGTCAACTTCAAATGACAGGCAAACGGGTGCCCGTACCATCAACTCTTTTGTAACACATAAATTTCACTGGTGAACAGAAATCTGCACATGCATTTATGTCTGCCACATGGAACACAGTTTTCTCCAATTCAAGACACTGTGTGACAAAACTCTAAGACTAGACTGAGCATTCACACACTGAGTCATCTGGCATTAAATATAATGCTCAAACCCACGACCTTCATTTCCTAATTACCCATGTCTCTTTACTTGAGTTAATGCTCATCAGAAACCTCTTGCCATTACGAAGTAAGTGGCAGAGTCTAGGAGTCACTATAATGTTGATTTGGGATGCTAAGTCTCTAATGATTCCAAACGAAGGCTTTTGAAGATCACTGTCTGGATGTATGGTATTGATAGCGTAAAATAATGAAAAATAACCTTTAGAAATACTCATGAGAGATGACAACTTATTTCAGTACAACTGGGATGTTAATTATTGAACATCCTTAAGAACAACAGGCTGGGATGAGTTACAGCGTTAGACAGAATGAAGTCTTTGCAATAACATCAGTCAATACAGTCTTTAACCCAATGTGCTCCACAGTTTTAACATGTCAGCAGTGACTTGTGAGATTAACCAAAGACAACCTGCAAGATCAGCAATCCTCCCAGATGTCTTCAGAAATTTATTTGAACAAATAAGAAGACTTGGGAAACAATGTTCCCCCTTTAGAGGTAGCCAGAAGGGGAAATAATTGGGTGAGCTAGCCCTGGATAGAAACTCACCCTCTGCTTTTCACCTCAAAATGGTCAGTTAGTCACCAAATAAGGGTGCGAGCTCACCAGATGGATGGTCACTTGCCTCTCCGATAGACAGAAAAGATGGCTCGGCTGGTAAATTATTGCCATCTACCTGCTGAGTATTGGACTCCAATACACCCAAACTAGGGGAACTAGAGGTACAGGGGATGTTTGTGACCGCTGAAACTCAAATAATGCCCTTTCCTCCCAACCTCCTTTCCCCTGCGTCCTCTAACCCACATGGAATACCAATCCAGATAAATGTCAGATGGTGCACTTAGGCAAGACAAATAAGGCAAGGGATATGATGAACAGGAGCCTGGGAAGTACCAAGGATCAGAGAAACCTTGGTGTGCATGTACACCAGTCCCTTAAGGTAACAGGACAGGTGGATAAAGTGGTTAAGAAGGCACATGGTATGTTTGCCTTTATGAGTTAGGGCATTGAGCAGTGACATTATGGTGAAACTGTATAAAGCGTTGGTTAGGCCATAGCTAGAGTATTGTGTGCAGTTCTGTAATCCACATTATAGGAGGGATATGGTAGCACTGGACTGGTGGCAGAGGAGATTTACCAGGGACGTTGCCTGGGCTGGAGAGTTTCCGTCATGAAAAGAGACTGGCAGACCGCCGTTGTTTTCCTTAAAGCAGAGGAGACTGAAAGGGGACATGATTAGGATGTATAAAATCATTAGGAACATAGATAGCATAGAAAGGAAGAAGCCTTTCCCCTTGATGGGGGGATCAATGACAGGGGGCATAGATTTATGATAAGGGGCAGAAGGTTTACCAGGGATGACAGGAAAATATTTTCATCCAGAGAGTGGTGGAATCTGGAACTCACTGTCTGTAAGGGTGGTAGAAGCTGAAATCCTCATAACATTTAAGAATTATTTAGATGCGCACTTGCAGTGCCAAGGCATAAAAGGCTACAGGCCAACTGTTGGAAAAAGGGATTAGATTAATTAGTGGTTTGTTTCTGACTGGTCAGGAATGCAAAGGGCCACTGGATCCATCAAGGTGTAGGTCTGATTGGCAGACTTTAGGACCCAAAAGCTGCTAGCAGGCTTGCACCCTGCCCCCTTCTTAGAAATTTTATTGCAAAATTCCACTCGCAGTGAATTTCTCCCTGAGTCTGAAATCAAGGTTGCCCCAGAAAGATACCTTCCAAATCTTACGTGTGTCTAGATCTAATATTCATAAAAATAGGATTTGTTAAATGTTTTCATCGCAGTTAAAGCGTGTGTGTGAGTGAGAGACATGTATCATGGTGTTGAAAATGATACATCTTTTCTGTTATGTAAAAAATAACTATCAAACATATTTTCTCTTGAAGGCCATTATGATTTCAAAGGAAACATTTTTTCTGATAGTGATTTCAAAAAAATGCATGCATCACGAACCAACTTTGTTTCAGGAACATTATAATGACATTAAATGCCAATATTTATTCCTCTTTGTAGCCACCAGAATGAGTGGTTGTCCAGCCAGCTGAGTCGAATTGGATTAGATTACAACACTGCCCCAAGGAATGAACACACCGAATCACTTCATGCACGCACAGAATAGAACTTTGAAATGTTTCACTGCCATTTGAAAATAACATTTGAAGTTTCTATGATTGTCACTAATCCAATAGCCTGGATCTCACCATGATGACAAGCAAAATAATTAACAGCTTTCAAAGCTCAACGGTTTCAGCTGCAAACCCAGGGCTACCATATAAACATGAATATTAGAGAGAATCAAAAATCATCAAATCTTCCAAAAGAAAAATGTTATTATAATTCTTTTTACACAGATAATTGCTTAACACTTTTTCCCAGTACAATAATTACACATATTTTCATTTATTTAATCATCTAACTAAAGGTTGCCTTTACATCATCCCCCTGCTCTTTGCTTTCCATCTGTCCTTCCCATCTCACTCATCCATTACAATGATTCCGATTGTTTTTCACATTCCCTCTTGCCCTGCTTGATCCAATCCAAGCGAGATTAGGACGGGCAGTGATGGCAAAGAAAGCAGGACAACATCACTGGGAAGGAGCACTTTGTCAAGAATGGGTTTGAGATATAAAACTTTGAAATATTTCAAAGCTGCTTTGCAAGACATAGGAATAAAGTCCAGCCAAGATTAAAACAGAAAATGCTGGACATACCCAACATCAGGCAGCAGACAGAAATGTAACATTTCAGGTCAATACCTTTAAAGATGCAACAGATTTTAAGCAAGTACTGATGTAGGGAAAGGAGTAAGAGAAAAAAGAAGAAAGGGAAGATCAGTGATAAAGTACAAGGGGAGAAAAATGAAATGACAAAGAGGTGATAGTGCATGTTTAAAGGAGATTGTAACAGAATAAGTAAAGAAACAAAAGTTGGATCTGGACAAAATGTAAGTGGATCAAGGAAAGTTGAAGCAGAAATTATAGGTTCAATAATTTCATTATCAAGGTGGAGTTCAGAAGTCTGTAAAGTACTAGATTGAAAGGGGGATTGCTGTTTCCGAAGTTGACATTGAGTTCCATTGGAACAGTCCAGGAGGCCAACAATAGAAAGTAAGAAGTGAGAGTGGAACAGAGAATGAAGGTGGCAGTCAACCAGAAGCTCAGGGTAGTGACTGTGGACTGAACAGAGGTATTCCACAACATGGTCCCCTATCAGTGTTTGATCTCTGTGATGCAGAGAAGACTGTATCATGAGAAGCAAACACAGTGTAATAAACTGGAAGTGCAAGTATGTCACTGTTTCACCGGGAAGAAGCATCTGGAGCTTGGACAATTTGAAGAGAGGAGACAAAATGGCACTTGCACGGGAATGTTGAGAGTGATCGAGGAGTTGATTAGTATATTGAGGACCAAGAATTCCGATTGCCGAATGGGAAAGAAAGACACGTTTGGTGGTGACATTATGCTGCAGGCAATCAAAATTGGGAAGGTGATCCATTGAACATGGAGGGTGATGGGATGGAAAAATGACAGCAATCCCATAATCGTTCTATAAGGGAAGGGAAAGGGGCAAGCGCAGAAAGTTGGGAAATGGAAAAGACATAGTCAGGAGTCCCGTCAACCATGGTGAATTGAAATTTTAAATTGAGGGTGAAGACAGCACTGGCATGGAATGTGGCATTATCAGAACAAATATAACTGACAACGTGGGAAAATGGAATAGTCTTCCTTCAGGAATTGTAGTCTGCTAGAGTCAGGAGGCATAAAGAGAATATTGGTTGATAATCTACTTCAGGAATAGCACACAGAAGTTTAGAAAATGAAGGGAAGAGCCAAGTGGACCATTGGAAGTTAAAGGAAGTGCGCAAAATTGGAAGCAAAGTCAATTAAACTTTCTGTTTCAATTCAAGAGTAGGAAATAGCACTGCTAAATCAAAGTACGGAAAAATAAATGAGGGAATAAGACTGGAATAAGGGACTTACTGCACATACCACAGAAGGTGACATGGTGGTATTGTGGGAGTGTTTCTGGATTCTTAATCCAGACAGACAGGCTAGTTCACTAGAGACATGGATTCAAATGGCCCCCATGCCCCAAGCATAATGTAAATTCAATAAATAAAATTTGGAATTGAAAGTTAGTTTTGTGGTGATCATTTCTGAGACTATCATTAATTGTCATAAAAATCTATCTTATTCACTAATATCCTTCAGGGAAGGGAATGTGCTGTCCTTTCCTGGTCTGGCCTACATGAGACTCCAGATCCAGCACAATGTGACTAACTCTGAAATGAAAACCAATCAATCCAAGGGGTGGGCACCCATGTAAGAATTAAAGCTAGGACCCACAGGGGTTCCCACGGTGCCATGTATTATTCGGAGAAAGTGAGTTGAGGCAAAAAGCAAGTCGATCAATATGAGAACAAGTTCAGCCTGGTGAGTTCGGATGGGAGTAGATGGAGACTGATTGGGTTTCATTTAAGTTGGGGGATGAAGAATAGAGAGACTGAACAACCATGGTGAAAAGAATACAGTCAGGGCTGAGAAACTAGAAATTGTTAAAGTAAAAGGAGTGTTGAAAGAAACACAAATGTTGTTGAGAAGAGACTGGACAAATGATAAGAAATGGGAAGCTCGCCACATCCATTCAATTCACCAGGGACCCGGCATTCCCCAACAATTCCAGTCATTTGATTTCACATGATTACTGTCTGGCAGACAAAGACAGTTTATAAGAGAAGTGCTAAATTCAGTAAAAAACAATTGTGTTTAGCTTTGTCCAAGTAGTATTTTATATTCTTTGAGCTGTGCCATTGTGATGCTGCTTCCACCACAGACAATGACAACTATTGACTGTAGATCCTGGGCCAACCGTCCTTCTTTCTGCAGTCGCTGGATTGTTCCAGTGTAAATGGCAGCTAGCGATGCACCACAGGCCGGCTCAACCAAAAACCTTTCATCATCTGCAAAAAGAGCCAACTGTTAGAAATCAAGTCATAAACTCAAATTTAACCATCATCTCAGGCCACTGGCCTAATTTGAGATCTAGCCTCAAAGACTAGCATAGCACTCAATGTGAACCCACTGGCTACTGAGAAACATCCTGAAATACCTAAAATAGAAACCAATTTTTTAAACAAAAAATCCATTTCTTCCACTTAGTTCTGGCACACAGCATGAGGTACCAGTTCCTCAAGTTCTGTAAGCTGGTGAATAACTTGCAACATAAGCAAAAAGGCATTACAATTCAAATGGTGTTCTCACCCACTGCTCCTATTATGTCTCTTGTTTGATTATGGACTTGACAGAAGGGAGCAACACAACTGAAATCTAAAGAGTACACAACAGTACTTACAATACAGGTGATCAATTTATTCAACTTCAATGTGCAAATAGAGATACTGTACACTGATATTCCCAATTAATAAGCATTTTATACATGGAATGATGAAATGTGATCTATCACCGTGGCTCTTGCAATGCTTTGTTTCTTTTAATTAAAATCTAGGTTGTAATTTTTAATTTTTGCTCTCCTAGTCATTTCTCCCCTCTTTCATTTACCTTCTCTCATTACTGATTATCTCCATTATTTCTTTCTTCTGTGTCTCTCATTCTTTAGAACCTTGTCTTTTTTATGTACTTTATTCCCTATCCCCCTATTATGTACACACTGCCTCTAATACACTCTCACTCTGAATTTACCTCTACCTTTCTCATTACCACCACTCACTTCTCTATCATAACTCTTTCCCAGTCTCTTTCCTGACTCTGATTTCTCTGATTGCTTTTTGAGTTTTGCTGTAACTACCAAACAAAGCAATGTCTATGTTAATAAGTCAGTAAATCTTGTTGTGTTCCATGTTTTTAGAGAACAGAATTAAAGACTGCACTCATTATTGAGAAGTAAAGTTTAATAAACCCACATTGGGTAGTATAAGGAGTATTATTATCGATTAATATTCCCCTTACTCAGGCAACTTTGTGAAAATCAAAAAGATAGTCACCTGGCTTTGCTCAAAATCTTATTGAAAGTCTTTTTTAAGAAGTGAAATAAACTAATTCGAGGAGAAAACAGAATAAGAGACACCTTCATAAAAGAGACAACATTAAAATGGAGTAAAGCTTCAGAATGATGAAATCTTAATTGGGATCCTGCTCCTCATTTGTGATAACAGAGGAGTTGTGAAATATCCTGGTGTTTGTTGTGCAGCCAGGGTGCTGAAAGGATCTTTCCTCTTGTGGGGAAAGTCGGAACTTCAGGACACAGCTTCAAAATAAGGGGGTCTCCCTGTCATGTCAGAAATGAGGAGAAACATCTTTCTGTCGAAGGTTCCTGGGTCTTTGGAACTCTCTTCTTCAGAGAGTGATGGAGGCAGTGCCATCAAATATTTTTAAGAAGAGATAGATAGGTTCCAGTCTAACAAGGGGGTCAAAATGTATCAGGGACAGGCAGGAGTATGGAGTCAAGACCACAATTTTACAGTGTATTAAACCTTCATTCTCAATAATAAGTGGAGCCTTTAATTCTGTTATCTGAAATTGTGGGGAGGCAATGGCCTAGTGGTATTATTGCTAGACTATTAATCCAGAAACTCAGGTAATGTTCTGGGGACACTGATTCAAATCCTGCCATGGCAATTAGGAGAATTTGAATTCATACAGAATCTGGAATTAAGAGTCTAATGATGACCATGATTGTCAATTGTTTGGGAAAAATACCTACCTGGTCCAATAATGTCCTTCGGGGAAGGAAATCAGTCATCCTCACCTGGTCTGGCCTACACATGATTCCAGACCCACTGCAATGTGGCTGACTCTTAACTGCCCTCTGGGCAATTAGGGATGGACAATAAATGCTGGCCAAGCCAGAGATGCCCACATCTTATGAGTAAATAAACAAAAGAATTAGATCAGCCATGAATCTTATTGAATGATGGAGCAGGTCAGAGGAGCTGAATGGCCTATTGCTGCTAATTAATTTGGTTGAGTAATCAAACAATTACTGTATGGCAACTCATTCAAAAGCTTTAGATTAACAAGGTCCGGATTAGAAAAAAGAAGATTTCTTTCCCCTACTGTGCTTTTTATTATTCTGCATTTCACACTCCGGGAATGAATGCACCAGCCAGAAGGAAACAGATACTGTGTGAGACTTTGGGATGCTGTTATTGGACAATAAAAAAATAAATAAAACACTGTGAAAATAATTTAACAATTTAACTAAGCATAAAACCTGGCATAAGCATTAATTCAAATGAGCTGCCAAATATTCTTCCTGTTTAACATTTCCAAACGAAAAGCAAGAAGCCAAAGTCATCTTAATCTAGTCAATATTCATAATTACAGGATTTCGTATGAATAAAACTGCGTATGTATAAAGAGCAACTTTTGTTGCTGTAATGAAAAAATCTCAGAACCAACTCACTGTGCTGTACTGCAATTGGCTTTTGTTCCAAATGGGATGTGTAGGAAAACAATTCAAATCTAATTTATTATTCATCCTACAGTTGAGTAAAATTCTTAACTTACAAGTTAAAACAGAACATCATATTAAATAGGAATGCATATTCGCAATGAAGTCTGATTTTCAACAATTTGTGTATGTGAAAATAAGAAGCCTCACCTAGGAATCTCTCCACTGCTTGCACAGCTTCCTGGTCACTGATTACCTCAGGGAGAATATCGTGCTCCTGCGCATTCTGAAGTGCCTTCTCACATACAGTTTTAGCTCCTAGGGTTATAGCTACACTATTATACAAAGAAAAGCAGGTTAGAAAAAGAGTTCATCACACACGCAGACACTATTTGTTCATCACACACGCAGACACTATTGTACACAGATTTACTACACAGATACGGTGCCAAAGCAGCAGACATTAAAAGATGGAAACAAAAGTTAATCAAAGAGGTATCATTAAGGTATTAATGGCAGTAAGTTGAAAGGATTGTGGTGAAATTCCAAAACTTTGGGTCTGAACAACTGACAGCACAATTACCAATTGTAGAGCAAAAGAAATGGATTATACAAGTTATATACACACATACCAAAATACAAGTCCCGATGAGCAAAGACCCCGACTTCCCTGAAAAATTACCAAACTATTTAATTCTTTTAAGAATCTCAAATTAAAGATGTTTGAACAAACCAATGTAACAGCCACATTCAGCTATAATGAAAATAACATTGAGTGCTGGAAAGCTAAAATAAAAACCAAAACTGATGGAAATACACAGCAAGCATTGGAAATAAAATTCAGGTCACTCTGCCATTCTGATTCAAGGTTGTTCTATTTTTTGACTTCCATGGCCTGATGCCAGTTTGTGTGAGCAGATTAAACTTGTCACTGATTGAATATGTTTACTCTCTAGCTCACTGAGGTACTACTGGTTTTAAAATATATTTACATATCTACCTGAAAGTTAATCGATTCCATGTTCAGCATTTCTTATTCTTATTATAAGTTAGCAGTTACTCAATTGGATAATGTCAATGATATTTCTTTTCTTTGACTTCATGTTATAGAACTTTGAGGTCAATAAACTCATGAGAATGCAGAAATCACAACTTGTATAGATACTGTAATCATTTCCTCGAAATACACTCAGAAATATGTCACTGGCATAAATCGCTAGGAAACTGGCCAAATATATCTATCTAGTATTGGTTAACTTGAAGTTGTTAAATCTCTCTGTGTGATGTCCATTTGCTTTCTCACTTATTCTCACAAATTGGTGTGAAATTATTGACATAAATTACCCATTAACTAAGCTAGGTGACGCTCCAACTACATTGTGAATACTGAGCTTCATTGTAAAAGATATAATCCTACATCACAGTGGCACAGTGTCATAGTCATTTCAGTTCTCAGTCTTTAGAACAGCCAGGGACATAAAGTAAGAAGGTGTTAATATATGTGCCCTACTTCAGTTGTCAGCACCAGACCAAAAGAATTATCTTTAACAAATGCAAGCTTTGTCTGAGAGATCCAAAACCATGAACGTTCCTAATTGTCTACAGTACTTTTTTGTTCAGACAATGATGAGAAATGAAAATTGGATGGTTTCTATAGCAGCAGCGATCTGCAATAGAGGCTTTATGCCCAGGCTGTAATTTGAAAATGTACCCCACACCATCAGCACATCTTTCAAAGTAAGATGACAATAGTTTCATGCACTGTCACTACTTAATAGGGAGGTAATGAGTATTCAGCCACTGGGAATGACGTGCAAACTGAATTTCTTGCTTTAGCTAACAGCAACTATGTAATTTGTAAGGTGCCTTTTATTAAAATAAGCAAAGCAATAAACAGAGGTATTTTTATCCACATCTGCAGTTCTTGCTATCTCAGTATTTTTATCCCATATGCCTGTCTTTCATAATAGTAACAGTACAATCCTGTGTTGTACCATAAGTACTGGCTGCTGTTTCTGATGGCATATGCCCTGTGGACTACTTCTTACCCAAGTCACCCAAGATCATGATAGTTAATACACCTAGAAAATACAGGAAATAGAAGAAGCGATTTCAAAAGTTGGCAGACCAAAGATTCCAACTGTTAGTGTAGTCTTCTAAAGTGTGAATTCAGACCAGAACACCCAGGTTCAAGTCCCACCTGTTCCAAAGGTGTATAATAGTATCTCTGAACAGGTTGACTAGAAATGCCTAAATTGTACATGACTACAGGACAATGTCCCTCAATGTCACAGGAGAACAGGTTTGAGGATCAGTATTATCATGTTGTAGCACATTCTCCCACTACATCCTCTCGTATAATGATATATTTGCTCCCATCAAATATATCATTGTTATCTTATTATTTCAATAAAAATGCTAAAACATAGATTTACAAAATTTTACGAACGAATATTTTCACCATACCTTGTGATATCGGGGAGGGTGACCAATTTCCCAGCCTTCACTGCTGCGTTCAGACTCTCTGCACCTTTAGTCTCCATGGCAATTACAGGCACATCACACCAACCCACTTTCTTCAGCCCTTCGACCACTCCACAGAGAAGACCACCACCTCCAACCGACAGGATAATAGCTCCAGGTTTGCAATGTAGTGACTCCCAAAGTTCTTTCACAACGGTGGCATGCCCTTCCCTTAGAATATAATTTTAAAGGAAAAAATGTATTATCTCAGGCATCCAACAGGTTTCATAATTCTGAACCAAAATAGGGGAGTCTATTACTTCCTCATCCTTGTACATTTACTGATTGAAATCTAAAGAAAATGCTGAAATACCACAGGTGGTACAGTGGTTAGCACAGCTGCCTCACAGAGCCAGGGACCTGGGTTCGATTCCACCCTTGGGCAACTGTCTGTGTGGAGTTTGTATGTTCTGCCAGTGTCTGTGTGGGTTTCCTCTAGGTGCTTCGGTTTCCTCCCACAGTCCAAAGATGTGCAGGTTAGGTGGATTGGCCATGCTAAATTGCCTGTGGTGTGTAGGTTAGCTGGGTTATAGGGGGGATGGGTCTGGGTGGGATGCTCTGAGATTCAGTGTGGATTTGTTGGGCCTGTTTCCACACTGTAGGGATTCTATGAATACCACTAACCTATTGCCTCCCCCAAAGGCACACTCTCAAAATTAGCAGATCATAAATCATCTGCTGGGGGTGCAAAACTTCCAATCTGGACTCTTGATGTGCATAGAAAGTGCCAAGGCAAAAGAAATCTCCCCAGGAGTGCTGATGGGAGGAGAAGGTTCACCAAAAACATGCAATTACTGTCCACCAAGTCCAGAGAGAATTATACCTGAGTTGTACAAAATGTTACAAAATTTCAATATGCGGCAATACCCATCAACTACATAGTAACTGACATTGTTGACAATGATCTGCCAGAGTCTGGATGAAAGTTTAGGACCACAGGCTGAATTTTATGGCTGGTGATTGTACTGTTTGATCAGCCCCAGAAGAAACGTCAGTCAGTTGAAGGCTATCCCACAGTGACAACATGATGCAGAGTCTGACTTCACCCCAGCATTCCTGACGTCAATACAAGAATACTGACGTCAAGAAAGCTGCCAACCGATCTAATCGGCCAGCAGTTCTTGCAGTCTTAGCAGTGCCAGGAAAAATACCGGGAGCTGTAATTGTCACCCATTGCCTTGGTATAACTGATATTATTCTATAATTCCTATAGTGAGTCATGTGTGGTATTAAAGTAAACTTCTTATTTCTCATGTGTGCATATTGATGCTAATTTACTTGCACCATGTGATTTCTACTTTTTTTTTAGCCTTATCAGAAGCACAAGTAACAACTTACACTATGAACAGATGAAACAGGAGAGAAAGCTATTGAATAAAATTAAAAAATTGAATATTGTTGCTTTTTGAAGGTAGCAGAAACGCATAAATAATTGTACAAAAAAACACTAACTTGAGTTCTTTCACGCCTGATTCAACATTTATTTCCAGTTGACTTCTATGATAAATCTAAAAGCACAAATCATGCCTTGATTTTCTACAGATCATCATATGAAATGCATTCCAATTTTTTAAACTTATTTATTGATGGCTTACTTATGTGTCAGGTTCATAAGGGGCAAGACTGAAATAATTACCTTGCAGTAGCATGTTGCATGTTGACGTTAAATATTCTGGTGTCTGGCACACAGATTGTAAGCTGCACAACAGTTTATAAAATCAGAACAACATGCCCTCGCTTCAGAATAACTGGGTTGAGAATATCTAAATCATTTAAGGTAGAATTTTATAGTTGAGGAGAGGTTTTATTCTATCAGTCTGGCTGGACCAATCCTATAGTCCAGAGTTAAAAGGAAGGTATAAGTGACCACTCCAGCTATCTCCTCCAGGGCATTTTTTACCCAAACAACATTCTGGTGTCATTCTAACATAAAGCAGATGAGAATTGTAACTTCCTGCACATGACTTAACAATAAAGTCACTGGCATGTATATATAGCAACAGCTGCTACAAACCAGGAATATCAAAATTTCTAATTTGAAAACTAGTCAATGCAAGTTATATTTTCTTTCCTTTTTTTACTTTAGAACACTTCATTTCTTTGAACTCTTTCACTTCTTTTCTTTTATTTGGGAAGTAGCACTGCAAAAGTCTTTAGTTACAGTGTTTCTGCAATTATAAGTAGAGATTAAAATGGTGAAAGAGACCTTGTGAATCATAACAGGTATCGATGCCAAATGCACAGATGTGCCACCCAGTAGGTTTCCTAAGGAAGATCAGCAATAACAAGCATTAAATCAGGTGAGCTGACTGTCATGCTGAGTATAAGAATAATTAAGAAAGGAGGGGTCTCAATTAGGTTGAATTTGTCATGTTTACTTAGTAGACTACATGGCTGCAATTCAACAGCAAAACTGTAGTAGTAATTGATCAAACCCTGAATGGAGAGAGAAGTTAATGGACTGCAGTCAGTTTGTGTACTACCATCGATCACCAATGGTGTTCATCTTTACTGGGTGAGTAGGCAAATACTGGAGAGCAAGATGTGCCAAATGGATGATTGATTACATCAAACAGCAGGAGTTGGAGCAGGCCATCCTACACAACACAAAATAATTGTGAGAAATATGAAGAGAAATCAATATGTACAAATTTCTTGCTGAAAATCACAACTGTCATTTTGTAGCCAAATACATTGAATTTGATTGGATGTGTGTTTTTTTTGCTTTATGTTTTTAACCCTCAAACAAGGAATGCAGGAATCGACTAAGATGCAGGATCAGTCGTGAACAACATGATATCGTAAACCTACCTCGATTTTAGCGTGCTATTCTGAAGTGCTTGAGGAGTACTACTTGTACCTAGCAGCGTATTTATAAAGATGAGACTTGTAACCCTTTAAAATGGACTTGCTGTTCATGGCAATCCACTTAAACAACAAGAGGGGAGGGAGGAGCAGTGTTGTAACCTCATACCAAATTACATCCCATGATGGCAAAAAAGCTCCCTACGTTAAAATAACTAGATGGTGTACAGTACAGAAATATAGCTCCTCTTCCAGAATTTACACAATACAGGATAGCATAGCATATTAGTACCATATGATCAGTTTTAAATTTAAACACTTTGGGTTAGATAAATAAATTAGATAAATTACCCTTTTTCTTTGTGTTAATCCAAATATGACAACAGCACAGTGGTAAAGTACCTTTGGCTGAGTACCTTGACAATTTGATATTTTATTGTCTGTTTTGACATGTGCACCCTATGAATTACAGACAATTCACATGGGGTTGAAATGAAATGGAACATTTAAGTTATGGAACAATAAAAAGCAATATCATTTCCTGTTTTTGATTTTGACTGTCAGCCAGTCCTTGTGGCTCATTCCCAAATACATATCCCTTCCTGTAACCAATTCCCTATTGTGTGTTACTCCCTTTACAACAGTCTCACAGTCTTACTTCCTATAACTCCTTCTTGACACATGTGCTACTCAGTTTATAAGATTCTGATTGTCAAGACCTTGCTTTGGTCTCAGTTAAAAGATAGTGCACAGTTTTGTTCACTTCAGACAAGGGGGAATATTGAGATTTTGCAGAAGACAGCTCAAGATGAATTCCCAGGTTAGTACTCAGATATATTTAAGGAGCAGGAACCTGTATATTCTGATAAAGCACAGATACAGTTGCAATTTCACTGTACATCTTTCCCTTTAACAAAGAACCAAGAACAATATAGTAGAGCACAGGAACAGACCCTTCAGTCCACCAACCTGCACTGACACATGACATCATTCAAAATTAAAAACCATTTACGGCTCTGCGGTCTGTATCCCACTTTCATTGTGTATTCATGGACCTGTCAAGACGCCTCTTAAACAATGCTTTTGTATTTGTTTCTACCATCTCCTCTGGCAGCACATTCCAGGCACTTACCACTCTGCGTAAAAATCTTGCCTCACACATCTCCTTCAAACTTTCCCCCTTTTTCCTCAAATTTATGTCCCCCCATAATTGAGATTTCTACCCTGAGGCAAAGACTCCAACCATCCATTCTATCCATGCCTCTCATAATTTTGTAAACTTCTATCAGATCACCCCTCAGCCTCTAATGTTCAAGTGAAAACAAAGCGATTTTGTCCAAACTCACCTTATAGTTAATACACCTCAAACCAGGCAACATTCTGGTAAACTGTTTCTGTACCCTATTCAGATCCCTCCACATCCTTCTGGTAGTGTGCCGACCAGAACTGTACGCAGTATTCCAAAGTTTGGTACAGCTGAAAGATGACTTTCCAATTTGTATACCCTATGCCCCAATCGATAAAAGCAAGCACGCCATATGTCTTCTTGACCATCTTATCCACTTGTATTGTCACTTTTAGGGAACTGTGAACCTGTATGCCTCGATCCCTCTGTATGTTAATGCTTCTAAGGGTTCTGCCATTTACTGTACACTTCCCTCCTGCATTAGACCTTCCAAAATGCATCACTTCGCATTTGTCCAGATTAAATTTCATCTGCTATTTCTCCGTTCAAGTCTCTAACCTATCTGTATCCTCTGGCAATCTTCATCACTATTTGAAGCTCCCCCAATCTTTGTATGATCCACAAACATACTAATCAGATCACATACGTTATCCTCCAAATCATTCATATACCTTACAAACAATAGGGGTCCCATGGCTGATCCCTGTGGAACACCACTGGTCACAGGTCTTCATTCATAAAAACACCCTTCTATCGCTACTCCCTATCTCTATGACCAAGCTAGTTCTGTAATCGTCTTACCAGTTCTCTGCTGATTTCTTGTGACTTCACCTTCTGTATCAGCCTGCCATAAGGGCCTTTGTCAAAGGCCTTGCTAAAATCTAGATTGACAACAACCACCAACCTGCCCTCATCAATCATCTTTGTCACTTCTCAAAAAATTCAATCAAGTTTGTGAGACACAACCTCACCTACAAAAAAGCATGCTGCCTATGCCGAATAAGTCCATATTTTACAAAATGTGAGTAAATCCTGCCCCTATATGCCAGATTATCCCTGTTGCCCTTCTTAAACAAAGGAACAACACTGGCTATTCTACAATCCTCTGGGACTTCTCCTATGATTAAAGAGGATACAAAGATTTTATACAGGCCACAGCAATTTCACGTCTTCCTCAGTATTCTTGGATAGATTCCATCAGGTCCTGGAGACTTGTCTACCTTACTGCTTTTCAAAATACCCAACAACTTCTTTTTTATATCAACATGCCCTAGAATATCAATATACCCCTCTCTAGATTCACCATCCACCATTTCCTTAAGTATTCATTAAGGATCTCACCCACTTGCTCCAGCACCACACATAAATTCCCTCCTTTGTCCTTGAGAAGACTTACCATTCCCCGAGCTACCCCCTTGTTCCTTATACAGGTACTAAATGTCTTGGGATTTTCCTTAATCCTGTTTGCCAAGAACATTTCACGGCCCCTTTTAGCCCTCCTAACTTCTTGTTTAAGTTCTTTACTGCTTTCCTTATATTCTTCGAGGGTTCTGTCTGTCTTCAGTTTCCTAAACCTTATGTATGCCTCCTTTGTCTTTTTGACTAACTTCTCAGTTTCTCTCATCATCCAAGGTTCCTGAATCTTGTCACCTTACCCTTCATTTTCACAGGAATATGCTGGTCCTGAACACTAATCAACTGGTCTTTAAAATATTCCCACACGACAGATGTGGATTTACCCTCAAATAGCCATCCGCAATCTACATTCCCCAGTTCATGCCTAATATTGTCATAGTTAGCCTTCCCCCAATTTAGTACTTTTACCCGCAGTTTACCGTATCCTTATTCAAAAGTAAGTTAAAACTCACTGTTCCTGAAATGCTCCCCCACTGAAACTTTGATTATTTGCTGACCTCATACCTTAATACCAGGTCTAGTATGGCTCTTCCCTCATTGGATTAACTAAATAACTTCTGACTGTGCATCATTTCTTGTAGATATTTCCTAACTATGCATTGCTTGTTGTAACTGATTCTTAAACATGTCATACATTTTTAATTGCATTTTGTGTCACTCTCTCTAACCAATTCTGGACCATATGTCTCCCACCACATATTATTCCTTGCAGTGTGACACTGCACCTGATTCTTACAGCACTTGTAGAATATTGCCTCCACAGTCAGAGCTTTCCAAAACACTCAATTACAAGGGTTTAAAACTGATAAAAATTCATATTTTTAGCTCTCTTTTACTTTGATTAGAAAAATGCTTTCAAAATAAACATCATCTTCGACTTCAATATTCTTCAAAGCCTTTTGAATTGAATCTTAATCAATCATTTAAGAGGACAAGACAAAAAAAAACAAACAATAATTTTGATTGGCAGTTCCATCACCTTTCTTATTATTTAAGTGAATTAAATTTTCTGATTTTTTTTAATGAATCCTTACCAAATCAGTGGGTGGTTGAAAGGTGAAACGTACACCCAGCCATCATTTTCAGACAGTTTTAATGCTTCCTTATTAGCATCATCCCAAACCTAGCAAAGCATTTGGAGAAGATAGATTAGTGTTGAGTATTATTTATCAAGGTATCTTCCATTATTACATCCTTTACACAAAGCAGTAACAATGTTTGTACCTTGCTTGGACCGGACCGAATATCCATTCAACATGATAGATTGAACAGCCATAACCCTACAGTTCCATAGGAACTGGTTCTAAGGAAGTCTTCAGCAATCTCGAAACAGAAGCAAACACTTGCCCGTCAGAATGAAGCATTCAACTGATGATCTTGAGGGTTTTTTTTACTTTTAGCAAGCACTCTTCAAAAGCATATTGTTGATGTCTTAAAGAAAATTGAAAGGAAACCAGTCGAGTGGTCAGTTGACTTAGTGACTCTTCCAGTTGTGGTAGTGTACCACACAAATTAACAGGATTCAATGTTCAATTTCTTGGTCACTAACAAAATGCCACAATTGGCTTCAGTGTCCTCAGTCTAAGGAGGGTGAATCAAGAAACTCAGCTACTGCTCTCACTCATAACATTCAATGCACTTGGCTAAAGTGATTTAAGACATTTGGATAGTTTTAGAGTACAATTATGTAATGACACCTGTTATAAAATATGTTTTCAAGTAAAGATCAGGATCGGGTCAGCTGCCATGCTGTCTAGTTGAACAACCTGCCCATACGCACCATGCTAAAGAACAGAGTACACATTAATAGAACAGCAGTGACTGTCATGTCTAAGATTATAATTAAATCACAAGGTTACGGAGCTTTACACAGCTCATGACATCCATAGTGTTCCTGCTATATCAATGAAATTTATTTGTGATTCAGCTGCCCTTTTGTAACTCACTGTAGAGCCTTTTTGTCCTGAATTAATTATTGCTTTACAACATTCCTGTCATCACAATTTCACTGTGTCTCAATAAGAAAGCTGCTTTCTTATAGAAAGAACTTGCAGTTCTACAATGCCTTTCACAACTTAGCAATTAACGATTTAAATTACTTGACCCTGCAAAATCAATTTACTTTTGGCCAGCTTTGCATCACCAGCTATCCATTCCTGGCAGATTTTACTACAATCAAAATATTAGGACTAAAACCCATTTTCAATATTGGAGTACAAACAGAAGGTTATTTTTAGTATAAAGTGTGATTTATTCCATTAGTTTCGCTAGGTCCTTGGATTACAATATGAGTGTCTGGTGTGCATGCACATGTGTTAGTCCCTTGGAATAATGATAATGCTTGCTAATAGCAAGAATCTTTGTACACTGTCTTTTAACATGGGGAGGTAATGCAGCATTAAAAAGTGTAACTGCCCTCAGAGAAATTGTGAAGAGTTTGGAAAACATGCAAACGTTTCACTTTGCATTGAGATTAACATCACGTATCATCATTGTGTTTCTCTAAAGCTTTCACCAATTTAAAAAGCAGCTTTGTATTATAAGCAACAGCATAAAGCCAGTCAAGAAATAACATTGGACAGCAGCTGAAAGTGTATTTTTAATTTTCTTACCCATTGTTGTCATACGCCAGAAAGATCAACCATCACTCTGAAATGCGTCAAAGTTTGAATACTCAAAGTCATCTTAACTACTTTGAACGTCTATCATTCTATCGTCAAAGACACCAAAACAGCAGCATGTTAAGAAAATCCGTTTTTTCCACTGGGATAAGAAGGTAGCCATGCAAACCAATGAAAGGAGTTGAACTGCACAGGAAACGTTGTCAGAACCGACTATTGGTTCACTGACTATTGGTCTACACTGGTGTGTGTAGACAAAAAAACAGGGATTGTAAATATAAGATAGTCATTAATAAATTCAATTGGGAATACAGGAGAAACCTCAGTGGAACAGTCAGAATGTGGAACACACATGCACATGCTTGGTGTAAATATTAATTTGCTTTTAAATGGATGTTAGATAAACGCAGGAGGGAGTAAGAAATAGGAGAAAATGTTAATAGTTAGATGCGAGAGGTTTGTGTAGAGTGTTACACCAGCATGGATCAGATGGTCCAAAGGGGTCTGTTTCTATGCTGTACATTCAATACAAATCTCTCGTTGTACACAAACTGGAGTCAGAAAACCTTTAAGCTGAGTTTATGGTTTCTAAGAACTACAGTTATGTCTGCTTTTGGTTTATTTCCAAAGAAGCTAAATATAGCAAATGACATGTTTAAATGTAACTTTTAAAAATAAAATTTTACTTAGTATACCTTCCCTGAGCATAACATACATGGAGATGATTTCATCAAGGCTATTTTGAGAGAAGAATAATCTCTGGTGCGAATGCATGAAATGGCTTTATTGACAATTCTCATCCTTGAACTGGTAGCATTGCCTGATTTTGGAAATACCAAATGGGATAAATATGGTAATGATCTTTATTTAATTAAGACAAATTACACTGAGATTCATATATTTAACATCACTGCAGTGCAGTAAATGTGTGTTACTGATATAATTGCATCTGAGACACAGAACCCTGTCATATTGAGAGACATAACTGGTTTCACTTTATTTAAAGTTGAGATCTGTATGTTGACATGTAATAAGGAGATTAAGAGTTTAAGTGGCTCACGTAAGAGCAGTCAGTATCCATAAGGAAACATGAAAAGTTGAAGAGCAGAATAATTGTATGCCCTCCTTGCCAGATTGGAAGGAATCCATCAAAATCAAACAAAAGTACAAAGGTTTCCTACGGCAATTTTGGGAAACAAGACATTTGCATATTTTACATCTTTTGAATAATTGTGTCATGTGTTGCAGTTAAGGTTGCAGTTATAACTCATCTCAGTCAGAAAGTTGCAAATTCTGATCTTGTTCAAGCGCAATACTGAATTGTTAAGAGATGCCATCTTTCAGATGAGACATTAATCTGAATCTCTATCTGCCCTTTCTCATGGAATTTCAATTAGGGCAGAACATCCTGGTTAAATACCCTGCCAGTTCTTACTTTTTATTGACTTTGATGAAAACAAAATTTGGCAGGGTGAATAAAGGGAGCTGATCCCCTACTAGATGCTTTCTGCCAAAATTGAAAATGTTCCACATGGTCTTACATTTACAAAGATGTTTTGTTTTATTCTGTTGCTAAACAAGTGCTTAGTTCACCTCAATCCAGTGAACAAGAATAAGGCACTGCAGTTATTTTTCCTGTTCCCACATCGATCCCACCTACCTCCAGAATGCAGTTTCTATGGCTTGGAATGGAAGCCAAGACTTTTCAACAGCTCATTGTCACTGCGACAAGAAGTGGTAACACTCTGCTCCCATCCCCACTGACTGCTGATGGTTAAAATCAGTCCTATGCCTTCTATCAAATATCCTTGGCCAAAAAAGACAAGATCTGCTCCCAGCTATCTGCCAATGCTCCTCTATAACAGCCAACTGTGAGCACGATTTATGTTAACCCGTTCACTCATTCAATGATATTCCAGCTGAGATTGGGGAATTTTGGATGTAAAGTAATTCTGTCCAAATGGGATATTGAATCCCAAACCCAAACTTGAATTGATGCAGGACAATCATGGCTGTGAAGTCAAGCACTTCTGGTAAATTGCATTGAAATTTTTTAAAAATGGTATCTATAATTCAATATATTTTCAACATTAACAACAATCCCTCTGATTGATCCTATAATCCACCCTAAACCCCAACCAGACAAGCATTCATCCTCCAGCATCAAGTCTTCCATTTTTCAAGCAAAACCATAACTCACAGTGAGGCTGCCAATAAGGAGGCATTCCACTTTCATGTTATTAACATCTGGTCACACATTATTCAGTTTCAATCTGCAAATTGATTTAACATAGGCAATTTCACATAGATAGATAGATCTCACAGAATCCCTACAGTGTGGAAGAGGCTGTTCAGCCCATTGAGTCCACACTGACCCTCCGAACAGCGTCACACCCAGACCCACCCTATCCAGTAACTCCGCATTTCCCATGGCTAACCCACCTAAGCTTCACATCCATGAACACTATGGGCAATTTAGCATGGCCAATCCACCTAACCTGCACATCTTTGGATTCTTGGAGGAAACCAGAGCACTCAGAGGAAACCCACACAGACATGGGGAGAATGTGCAAATCCCCCCACAGACAGTTCACCAAGGCTGGAATTGAACACAGTCCCTGGTGTTGTGAGGCAGCAGTGCTAACTACTGAGCCACCATGTCGCTCCAGATGATCAGAGATTTCTGCCCCATCAGTTTCTCCTAATGTGAATCCAAAGTCCCAAGAGTGAAACTTCTTCAATATTCTCTCATATATACATATGAACATACAAGTTATTAACAGGAGTAGACCATTCAGCCCTTGAGCTTGTTCTGCCATTCAATAAGGTTATGGCTGAGTTGATTGTGGCCACAACTCCACTTTCCCACTAACCTCTGACTCCCTAACTAATCAAGCAAAAATCTATTCACCTCTGCCTTAAAAACGTTCAATAACCCTGTCTTCACTGGTCTCTGGAGAAGAAAGTTCCAAAGACTCACAACCCTCAAGCAAATATTTCTCCTAGTTTCCATATTAAATGAAAGAACTCTTATTTTTAAACTGTACCCACTAGATTCCCCACAATGAGAAAAATCTATTCAGCATCTGTCCTGTCAAGTTCCCTCAACATATTATAAAGATCACATCTCATTCTTCTAAAAGCCAGTGGATACTGGCCTAGCTTCATAAAATAATACCCCCTCATCCCAGGTATCAGTCAAGTGAACCTTCTATTATCTACTTCTGTTGTATTATATCCTTTCCAAATAACGAGACTAAAATTATATGCAGCATACCAGATTTGGTCTCACCAATGCCCTGTATAACTGTGGAAAAACATCCGTATTTTAAACATTTCATTCCCCTCCCGATAAACAACAGCATAGCATTACCCTCCTAATCATTGGCTGTACTTGAAAGCTAACTGTATGGGATTCATATACCAGCACACCCAGATCCCTCTGTGCCTCAGACTTCTGCAATATCTCCATTTAAATAGTGGGTTTTTTTATTCTTGCTGC